TTCAGAATGGTTTGATCCCTATCCAGCTGAATTCCTGAGAGGAGACGAAATCCAGGTCTCCTACTCCTCCGCCATCTTGCTCCGCCCCCAGTCCAGCTCTTTCTGTGGGTCCTGCTTCTCTGCCATCATCACCCTCTCTGAGGACAGAGCCTTTCCCTGGACCATGGGCTGTGGCTGGGAAGACTTGGTAAAGACTTCCAGCATCAAAGCTGAAGGTGAGGTGGTGCTTTATTTGGATTGCTGTATTTTCCCACTCTACTAAGCTCTTGGGAAAGTGGAGAAGCCAGTTAGCTGAGTTCCATTTCCTATCGGGAGCTAAAAACAAATACTAAGCATCCACGAGAGACCCCACTCTGCCAGCAGAGGCCCAGCACACAAGCCACACATTTGCACATGACTGCCCGGCAGGGGCAGGGAGCCCTCCTACCACACAGCTTCACCTCGAGGACCCTCCGTGGTGGCCCTCTACCTCTACTGGCTGGGAAAAGAGCCAGCTGGCTGGCTGAGCGGCCCAGGGGCTGAACTGCACCTCCATGGTCCTCTCTCCCTCCCGGGAGGCCGGTTCTGTATGTCACCTCCACATGCCCCACCCCTAGCCAGGCATACAGGAGCCACCGACTGAATACACTTGCTTCCATCAACAAATCAAGCAGCCGTCTGAAGTGAATGCCCATGTTGGTCTAGGAAGGTGATCCTTCAAGGAAATGCCCAAACCGCAGCTTTTCGGACTTTTCGGCTGAAATTGCTCAGTGACAAAGGAGCAGGCATATGAACATGGGGATATGAAAGAATCAGCTTTCCTCGTAGGAGAGAGTGTGGGGTTTTATTTGTAGTCTCATATTTAGTTTTAAAGTTGGTGCACTTAAAATATGTGGGTTTCTACTGATGTAACAATTACATGACATCATTTTCTTTTCCAAAGTCTTCAAGCAAAGTTGATACTTCGTGAAGATGGCCCTGAAGCACTAGGACTTCATGAGCCCTTGGAACAGCACTGGCCAGGTTATGACATAGTTACTACATTTTCAGGTCTCCCAATTTCCCCTTAGCAATGACGCGCTCATTTCCTCTTAGAACAGTGGTTCCTAACACTGTGGGGAACAGGGAGCCCTCTGAGAATTTGAGCTTTGGTCTCTCTCCCCCTAAAACGCAAAGCAGCACATAAACTCAACATTTTGTGCATAAACAATATTTTGCACATATCCACAAGGGGTTCAAAGACTAACATCCACATTAAAGACCCTGCCTCAGTCTATCTCCCTTGGATCACACACCCCCAACACCACTGAGATAGAGAGAAACTGTTGCCCAAGAGGTCAGAACTGTTTCTCATGGAGAAGAGAAGGGCAGGGCTGGTGGTACAACCACCAGGAATGGGCAGGGTGAGGATGCTGGGGCTTACCTGCATTAGGGAGGACACTAAGCCATTTTGGAAGACCGCTTATTGACCTGGAGGCTTCAACTCAGCTGCCTGCAACCCCACCTCCCTGGGAGTCTTCAAATTAAGATCGATCATTTCTTCCAGAACAGCTAAACCAGAAGGACCCACCCCATGGCCAGGGTCTACCAGGCCCCCTGTCCTCCACCATTCTCACCATAAACATTTCTCCTTCTACTTTCTTTCCCTTTGTTTGTTACCACCCTGTTTCCTCTCCCTTTCCTGACGGTGCCCCCACCTCCAACCTTCTCTTTTTTTTGTCTCCTCTGGCTTTGCCTTAGTCCAGCCAATGGTCTCACCAGATTCCAAACAGAGGCACCAGGGGCTTCTCAACCCTTGAGTGAGATGCTGTTGAACCCAGAGGCAGCCAGACGGATGAGATGACCTCAGAAGGTGCCTTCCACCAAGAGTCTAGCTCCCAAATCCCAGAAACCTGGGATTTCTAGAAAACTGATCACACCAATGCTAGGAGCATTGCTGAGGAGCCATGGAGAACTAGTGGTCCTTGACATTACTAAATCCAGAAGGTGTGAAGTGCCTGCGCCCCCCAATTCCTCCAACGAGCCGTTCTCCTCACCTTGTAGGATGGGGTCTCCGTGCCTGGGTTCTCGGCCTGCACAACAATGTAGGCATGTAAGAAGTTGGAGGCAATCATATCTGGGACAAATGGTGTATTTTCTTCTTGGAAGATGATGGCCACAATGTCATTCCCAATGTGTCTCTTTCTCTGGAGCTAAACAAAAAGGGGTCCGTTGTTGTAAGCCAGCTAGGAACATCCTGAAAACAGACTAGATCTATACAGGAAATTCCTCATTATTCTATCTTTATACAGAAACCCTGAAACTGAGACCTAGCTCTCCAGGGGAGCTTTTTTCTTTTTTTCAATCTTCAGAAGCCACCAAAAAGAAAAAATGGGGAAGACGCCTAAGATGTTAGGTAGAGGCTAGCGAGCACGTTACTGAGCTCGACAGCATGCAGAGCCCTGACGTAGGGCTCGGGGAGAAGAGTTAAAAGGTGAGGAGCAGGTTTTGCCCTGGTAAAGCCTGTTAATGGATCCAGAAGGGACACAAAGGTGGTGAAGCCATCTGAGAATAGTAACAAAGGCACCAGCCAGCACGTGCTACATCAGCTGCCACACACAAAGCGTCTGGCACTCTGGGGGCAGAAAGGAGGGCAAAATCAGAGGCCTGGTGCTAACCCGAGAAAGCTTCCTGGAAGAGGAGGTAGAGGTGGGGGAGGGAGGGGACAGCGCTTGATGGAAATGTGGATGAGCAGGGATGAGCGGGCAGATCATTCTATACCAAAGGGAAGGAGAGCCATGCTTAGAGAAAGAGGGGACCTGGATTGGCAGAGGTCACGGGAGAGAAATCCAAGCCTGATTCAGTGTCCCAAATGGGGCCAGGTCCTTCCACAGGTGCTCTCAATCACCGAGCACCTAATGTGCGTCAGGAACCATGCTGTGGTGCTCACATGCATGACTTCAACTACTGGGGCCACGGAGGCCTGGCAAGGTGCTTACCTATGCGTTTGTTCCTTTATTAAGCACCTAAGGCATGCAGGCCCTGCGTTTCACACTGACTTTCTTTATTTACGGAGCACTGCTATAGACTGAGCCCCATGCTGGGCACTTTTACACAAATTGTCTCTCTTATCCCACCCACCTCCTCCCATTTCTTGGGAGCAGAAAATTAATATTTATTCAGTCCTTGCAGAGAGCCAAGCTCTGTGTATGTCCCCCTGAATATGGGGGAGACTGAAAGAGAGCCCCAGGCTGGGGCAGGGGGCAAGGAGGCCATGAAGGAACAGAGAAACAAAGGTGGAGAGAAAACCTACTTTGGATTCAAAAGGAATCCTGTTCCCATTTGTTTCTGGAACATTCAGTGGTTATTTTAGAGCCAAATCACAGTCTCATTTGCCAATTTCCTTTTTCCCTAAGAAGCCAGGCACTATGTTTACAGTATTACATCTGTGCTCCCTCCTCAGTTCCCTGCTCAGAGAGGAATGGGTCACAGTCTGGGGAAGAGCCTACCTTCCTTTCTGAGTTTCCTAGAGACTGAAAAGGCACAAAGAGTGGGAGGGGGCAGATGGCGCAACAGCCAGGCCCCAGCTGCTGATTTCAGGGCTCACTGAGAAAAGAGCCGGGCCACCCTGGGGACACGCCACTCTCAGAAGCAGCAAATGAGAGGGAGGGCAGGAAAACGCTGGATGCAGAGGTCTCATCCAGGTTCCCTGGTTGAGGTGAAGGCCGAACTCCTGCCCACGAGCAGGTGCAGCAAGGATGAGGCCATGAGACTAGAAAGGTTGAGAGGCGGGGGGGGGGGCGGTTAAAGCAATGACCACCATGGCTGGGGGGGAGCTGCCACCCATCACTGGGGCAGGAAGGAGGGTAATGGTCAGGAAGGAAGCCTGCCACAAGCCAGATACCGTACTGAGCCCTACCTTTAGAACCTTCTGTGATGCCCACAACAAGCCCCTGACTTAGGTGGTGGTGTCTGTTTTACAGCTGAGGAACATGAGGCCACAAGGTTCACCAACTTGCCCGGAGCCAGGTATCCCCACGTGGCAGAGCTGGTATCAAGCTGCTACTTGCAAATGCCAACACATCCTCCTCACCACCACCCACCATGAGCAGGGCACTTGGACTCTGCTCCCAGCTCTGCCCCTAGTCAACTAAGACACAGTCTTCTAACCACGCTGAGCTGCAGGTTCCCCACCGGGCAGAGCAGAACAACCGGGAGCCCTGTCCTGACTCCCACACAGGGGCTGATATGCTGCCTGGGTGGGTTAGCGTGATGGAACAGACTGGCCTCTGGATTATGAAAGTGGGGAGGGGGTCCCAGCCCCTCAAGTACCCAAGACCAGAAGCAGGCTTTCACCTCATATGCCCCATGCTCCCAACGCCTTCCCGAACCAGGTTACCTGCTGGGCATCTCCCTCGGTAAATGGCAGCTTTGTGGAGACGTGAAACATGATCTCCCTGTCCCGGAATATCGTGTACACGGATTCCACCCCTGTTTGTCCATGGGTCACATCCAGGCCTCCACGGAAACTGTCAGTAAAACAGGGCAAGAGCAGGGAGGGAGAGAGTGTGAGGAGAAGTAGGCTACGTGGTGCTTTCCCTGAGGCTACGGGGGCAGGAGAAGGAATGAGAAGACACGCGAGAGTGGGGGCACAGAGAGAATGATGTGCACAGCTCAGGTAGGTCCATGCTCCTGAGCACACGAGCCCCGGAGTTCTACCCATAAGCCTGTTATTTAAAAGACACAGGCAGAACATCCATACGGTCAGTGGGAAGGGAGGTCACCCATCCGCAGTCCCAGACAAACGCCATCCGAGGTGCCAGTGGCCCCCATGGCTGGGCATAAGCCTTTCCTCTCTGCAAGGCCATGTCCAGATCCTCAGCCCAGAGCCAGGGCAAGCAGCCATCCTGTGGGGAGCATCCAGAATCAGTCTGAAGAGTCTGGATTTCCACCTAGCCAGTCCCTCGTGTGGAGACCCAGCCACAGCAGCATCCAACCTAGCGGCGTCCAAGGAGCCCCTCTCCGGGTATCTCCTCAAAGGCAGGAAAGGAAAGTACTAAGACACTGGGTGGGCTTCCGGGAGCCACCCCTTCTTCCTTTATAGACATGTGGCTCCCGGCCGTGGATCACATTCTTCAGCAAGGGGAGGAGGATGCAGGTCCTTTAAGAAAATGAAATAAAGCAGACCCTGGACGTCAGTCCCCACAAGCGCTGTAACACAAACCAGAAAACGTGCCCCGCCTGGCATGGCAGGAAGCTCACCAGCCCAGGAGCCAGGCGCTCCGGGTTCTGCCACTGCTTCTGCCACTAAGTCAGCGCGTGACCTCGGGCACATCACTTAACTTGTCTTAATCTGCCTCGGTTTCCTTCCTCTATACGAAAAAGGGCTAGAAGTCCCTGATCACTGGGGTTCTTCCTGGTTTGAAGAGCCTTTATTTCACCTATTCTAAGGCACACCTTTTTTCATAGTTTTACATCTCTGAAATCAGGATGCATCTTACGTTGAAGGCATCTCGAAGTCAATGGAAGGTGGCACAAGAAGAGCAAGAACTCGAAGACTCCCCGTGCTGACTCCACGTGGGGCACCAGCCTAGCTGTTTCACGTGCACAACAACCTGGCGGCGTCAGCACTATCTTTACCCCCCTTTTACAGATGAGGAAACTGAGGCTTTCAGGGAGTAAGTCACTTGTTCAAAGACACAGAGCCAGTAAGTGGTGGAAGTGGGACTTTTAGCCATGTGTGACTGACTCCAGGCGGCCGTGATGACCTTGGAGGGGGAGGCAGACAGAAGAGGGGTGGGGTGGGGGGAGAAGAAGAGGAGAAGAGAAGGGAGCGGAAGAAGAAAGTAATTACTGAACACCCACTACACACCAGACCCAGAGCTGGGCACTTCTGCACCTGATAGGAGATTCTGTTAATTTGGCTGCTGAAGCAGGGGGTCCTTGGGGCTCAGCTGTGTGCCAGCCACAAAGCACGGAACAGGCTGGCCAGGCCGGAAGGCCCTGCTCAAATGCCCCTTTGTCAAGGGAAATCAGGGACCAGAGTCTTCCAAGCAATAGCCCCAAAATTCTTTCTTTCCACTTAGAGAACCAGAGACTACTACATAGGTTCCTTCCAGGGAGATTACTGTATTTCCACCAACTCTTAATTATCCATTCTTTTTGTGTGTTATCTGAAATGGGCCACTTCCCCCAAAACTGCACAGGGCCCTCTTTCCTGAAGGCCCGGCAGGTGAGTGACAGAGAAGGTGGATTCATTTCACTCTTGGTCTGAGCAGTTTCATCATGCATCAGAAGGCCAATGTCGGTGCCGTTCAGGTAATGTGCCATTCTGGATTATCCCCCACGTCACCCGTTTCCTTAGGAATGCAGATCACTTGCTGAAAAATGATCCCATGTTTCTTGTGTGTGTTTTTACCGCTCACATACCCCCTGAGACTCAGCTGTTGCCCCTCTCCCTTACTCTAGGCTTTCATCAATAGGGCCAGAGCCATCCATTGGCTGAAACTTACCCTTTGAAATCCTGCAGTGTGATCGTGTCCCCCAAAAGATCCAAGAATTCCTTGAAAGCTGGGCTCTCCTCATTGTTCCCAAATAGCTCCTCCTCCAGGGTCTGAAAGAGAAACAGAATCAGCGGTAAGAGTCAGAAAAGCATTCTTGATGCCAAGGGAAGGAATGTGGTTGTCCAGCTACCTGGTCCTTTTCTTCCTTTCTCCCTAACCCCCAACACATTTGCCAGCCAGTGGCTCTGCTTGACTGGAGGAAGGACAAATAGCTCACTCAGCAGAGCCGGAACTTCAGGGCTGGTTAATGAGGACTTGCTATCTCAACAAAGGCTGCCGGTCAGTACAAAATGCAAAGCTGAAGCAAAGAGTTCTTAGACTTGATACCAAAAACCATTCCATAAATGAAAAATTAATAGTTGGACTTCTGACAAAGGACTAGTATCTAGAATATATAAAGAACTCTCAAAACTCAGTAGTAACCAAAATCATAATGAGATACCACTTCACACCCCCTGGGTGGCTATAATCAAAAAGAAAGATAAGAACTGATGGTGAGGGGGCACCTGGGTGGCTCCGTCAGTTGAGCGGCAGACTCCAGATTTCAGCTCAGGTCATGATCTCAGGGTCCTGGGATCGAGCCCCATTGTCAGGCTCCAAGCTCAGTGGGGAGTTTGCTTGAGGATTTTTCTCCCTCTCCCTCTGCCCCTCCCCCCACTTGCGTGCTCTCTCTCTCTCTCTAAAAAAAAAAATACATCTTTAAAAAAAAAAAGAACTGATGGTGAAGATACAGAAAAGTCAGAAGCCTTATACACTGCTGGTTGGAATATAAAACGGTGCTGTCTCTTTGGAAAACAATCTGGCAGTTCTTCAAAGGGCTAAGCATAGAGTTACCATATGGCCCAGTAATTCTACTCCTAAGAATATATCCAAGAAAAATGAAAACATAAATCCACACAAAAACTTGCACATGAATGTTAAAAGCAGCATTATTCATAACAGCCCAAAAGTGGAAATAACCAGAATGTCCATCAACTGACAAATAGATAAACGAAATGTGGCATGTCCATACAATATATAATTCTGCCATCAAAGGAATGCACGACTGACTCATGCTACAACATGGATGAAACTTGAAAACATGTTAAGCAAAAGCACATAAAAGACCACATATTATGATTCCATTTATATGAAGTGTCCAGAACAGCCAAATCCATAGAGACAGAAAGTCGATTTTTGATGATGGGAACTGGAGAGAATGGTGATGGAGTGACTGCTAATGGGTATGGGGTTTCTTTGGGGGTTGATAAAAATTTTCTGGAGTTAGATAGTGGTGATAGTTTTACAACTCTGTGAATATACTACAAACCACTGAATCATACACTTTATTGAGATCTAATTCTCAAACCGTTGTGAATCATATTAAATGTGAGTTACACCTCAATAAAGCTGTTATAAAAAGTTTTTGAACAGTAAAAAAAAAAAACCCAATTAGAAAATGGTCAAAAGAGGGGCACCTAGCTGGCTGAGTCGGAGCGTGCGACTCTTGATGTCAGGGTTGTGAGTTCAAGCCCCACGTTGGGTGTAGAGATTACTTAAAAATACAGTCTTAAAAAGAAAAGAAAAAGAAATGGTTAAAAGACATGAACAGCCATTTCACCCAAAGATATATATATATCTGTATACAGATGGCAAATAAGCACCTGAAAAGATGTTCAACACCATTAGCCACCATTAGAAAAATATAAATTAAAACCATAATGAGACATCACTACACATCTATCAGAATGGCTAAAATTAGAAAATAGTAACAACACCAAATGCTGGTGAGGATGTAGAGGAAATGGATTATGCATACATTCCTGGTAGGAATGCAAAATGGAACAACCACTCCAGAAAACAGTTCAGCAGCTTCTTACAAAACTAAACATGTAATTACCATAAACCCAGCATATGCTCCTCAGCATTTGCCCCAGAGAAATGAAAACTTACGTTCACCCAAAAACCTATATACAAATGTTCATAGCAGCTTTATTCATAATAGCCTCAAACTGTAAACCACCCAGATATCCCTCAAAGGGTGACTAGTTAAACAGACCATAGTATATTTATACCATGGAATGCTATGCAGCCATGAAAAAGAAATGAACCCTACTGATACACTTAAGAACTTGGATGAATCTCCCTGAATGGGAAAAAGAGCCAATACCCAAAGGTTATATATAGTGTATGATTCCACTTATGTAAGATTTTTGAAATGACAAAGCTTTAGAAAGTGGAGAATACATTAGTGGTTGCCAGGGCTCAGGGACTAGAGGTGGGAAGGGATGATGGAGGCAAGAGGGAGGTGAGCATGCTTATGAAAGGGCCACACAAGGGATCCTTGTGTTGCTGGACTTCTTCTGTATCTTGACTGTGAAGGCTACACATGTAATAAAATTATATACTACGAAACACACACACACACACACACACACACCGATGGTCGCATGCAAAACTAGGGAAGTCTGAACAAGATCTGAGGATTGTATCTCACTCACACACACACACACACACACACACACACCCGATGGTCGTATGCAAAACTAGGGAAGTCTGAACAAGATCTGAGGATTGTATCTCACTCACACACACACACACACCCCCGATGGTCGCATGCAAAACTAGGGAAGTCTGAACAAGATCTGAGGATTGTATCTCACTCACTCATACACACACACACACACACACACACACACCCGATGGTCGCATGCAAAACTAGGGAAGTCTGAACAAGATCTGAGGATTGTATCACACACACACACACACACACACACACACACGATGGTCGCATGCAAAACTAGGGAAGTCTGAACAAGATTTGAGGATTGTATCACTGTCAATATCCTGGCTGTAATTTTGCACTATAGTTTTATAAGACATTACCTTTGGGGAAAACTGGGTAAAGGGTACAAAGAGCTCTCTGTATTATTTCCTGTAACTGCATGCCAATCTACAAATATCTAGAAATTAAAAGTTTAATAATTTTTTAAAAAGTAGAAAGCAAAGCTGAAAACAGTAGTAAGCTCTGCACTTGTGACAGGCTTCAAACAGTGCGTGGCCCTGCCTGATCAGCAGGCTCTGCGCACCGTGGCAGGATCGGCAAACAGCCGATGACTCTGCAAACATCCACAGACGGCAATTAACAGCTGCAGATGACACAGGAAACTCCAGTATGCACAATCGCTTCAAGAAGAAAGCCCCTAATAGGTGACTCTTTAATATCTCCTTTACACTTGCTTTATTACAAAAAAGAGCAGATCCCACGTTCTATGCCTTCAACAGGCAACAGAATCTAGCTAGATTTCAATAACTTTACTCTTTTTTTATAGTATTTCTGTTTAGAATTACCTTCATTTCATGCAAGGGATACTGATTTTCTAATTAGAGTAGTGATACAAAATTCCCTTTAAACAATGGACTTAAGGTGAAAAAAAAACTTCAGGAAAATGTTAGGTAGTTAATACTATAGGTGTGACAAAAAGTGTAACAGAGGCAAACGGTAGAAAATATGATCTTGGATGTCATTTGTGAATGTCTGAAGTTTGGGAAACACAGCCCTCTAGGAGGGGTCAGCAAACTATGGCCCAAGGGCCACATCCAGCCTGCTGCTTTATAAATAAAGTTTTATTGGAACACAGCCAGGGCAATTCATTTAGTTTTGTCTATGGCTGCTTTTGCACTACAAAGGCAGGGTGGGGTAGTTCCAGAGAGACAGTATGGCGCATGAAATCTAAAATATTAACTATCCAGCCATTCACAGAAAGTGTGCTGAGTCCTGATGTATACAGACCATGCTACAAAGGCATCACAACCCTGACCCAGCATGCTGTTTACCCCAGGTCATGAGGCCGGAGTGTGGGAGAACAGCTGCTTCTGGGTAACAGACAGCTTCTCCTGGGAAAGCAATCCAGCTCGCTTGCTTGCTTGCTTGCTTGCTTGCTTGCTTATTTATTTATTTATTATTTATTTATTTATTTGACAGAGAGAGAGACAGCGAGAGAGGGAACACAAGCAGGGGAGTGGGAGAGGGAGAAGCAGGCTTCCCGCCGAGCAGGGAGCCCGATGCGGGGCTCGATCCCAGGACCCTGGGACCATGACCTGAGCCGAAGGCAGACGCTTAATGACTGAGCCACCTCGGCATGTGTAACGAGGTGCCCCAGCAATCCAGCTTATTCACTGGGGTGTGCAGCTCTCTCTAGGATTTACACCCAGCCTGGGACTAGCATAATCTTTATTTTTACACTGTCCATGAGTTTGACCATGCACTCAGGGAGGGGGTCTTAGTCATCACTGTGCTTGACAAACAGGAGAATTAGATGGGATTTATTTATATCCTAAGGACAGCATAGAGCTTTCATGCAACAAATGTTCATACTAACTGCCCCACGGATATAGGTCTGCAAAACAGTAACTTTTTAAAAAGTTTTTTAAAAAAGACTTTTATCTCCCTGTGTACCTCCACTGTGGCTCAGCAACATCAGGTAAATAAACAAAACACAGACTCCTCTCAGAAGTGGATGGTTAATGTTCAGTAATTATAATTTTGCTGGAACACTGGATTGTAATCACCTTATGAGATCTGCGATGGTAAATTTCACAAGCAAAAACTTTAATTAGGGGGGTTATATTACCAGAGCTGTACAAAATAAATATGCAATATGTAAAAATAATTAGAGCAGCTACCTGAATAATCTCGCTTCAATTATAAGATTCATCTGTGTTGGCCTCTCAGCTCCTAAACTCTTCAATTAGAATGTTTTTAAGCAAACACATGTCTCTTGTGGTCTAATATCTTCAGACAAGGAAGTCAGCTATCATCTAGCCAAGAAACACACCATCACACACACAAAAAACCCCCAGAGATAATATTGAAAGATACTATCGACCCTACCATAAAAGCATCAAAACTTTGATCCATTAATTCACACAGGAAAAAGTTATTGAGTGTATCTCCATAAAATCACCACGCTCGGCTCTTGGATGATACCAAGATGAAATTGGTGTGGAACCTTCTAGGTGAGGAAACATGGGTGTGTTCAGCAGACCACTTCTCAGGATGCTAATACATGTCCGTGGTAGGGAAGATGGGAAGTTTGTGGTCAAGTAAGTATGGGAAACACTGAGTGCAACAAAACTATGTGAGCTCTTTACCTTGGGGGTTCTTAGACCCTTTAAAATATTCCCACACACTGCCCCCACCCCCACGAGTCATTTGTTCACAGAGTACCCACCAGGCTAGCGTCTCATGGAACACACTTTGAGAAACATTATTCTGACCAACTAATCCCAAAGCAGCATATGAGTGTTACAAGAAATAGAGGAGGGTGAGCAGTACTGCTGGTAAATTTTTTTAACAACCAGGTTTCCAAAGAGGGAAAACAGAAGCCCTGGTTTGCACATTTCCATGGTGTAAATACTTCCGCCATGGCTGATTTCAAGCAACCAGCATGACATCACGGAACGCAGAGCTGGGAAGAAATGCACGCAATACTCCAGCAATCTAAGGAAGTTCAGGGAGAAAAAGCTAATTCCCCTTTGGGAGAAGAGCAGGCAAGGAGAAAGCAGCTTGTGCTAATCCATTCCCTTGACCCAGTCTGACTTTTCTGGTGACAACAGCCCAGGGTTCAGTATAAGCTGAGGTAGCCAGGAAGAATTAGAAGTTGCTGTCTGAAAAACAACATTGCTGTTAAAGGATCTGCAGCCCTTCTTGTGAGAAGTAGCCCACCTTGAAGATTCTGTCACCTCCAGCCTAATTCATCCGTGAAATGTGACTGCTGTGTTCGGCATCTGTAAGAGCCTAGCGTAGGGCTCCCGTGCGTGGGGGAGGCCAAGAGGGAGCCCCCAGAGAGAAACCACAGGGTAGAGTGACCAGTATGGATTTGTGGTGCTTACCTGCCTGGCTTTTTGATAAATGACCCCAAATTTGAATGTGTTGTTGACATCATGCTCATCATAGGACACAATCATTTGGGAGGCCTGGAAAAATGTAGAAAGAAAAAAATCAGATTGTTGATTAACTTAGAGACAAGTGAGGAAGCAAATGGAAGGGAAAGCACCCATTCTGGCGGAGAATATGCCCCCCTGGTGTGAGACCTCCACGCATGTGCAGCGAGGCAAAGGAGAAGCCAGAGGTCTCAGCTAGTTCCCAGACCTGGGCTCCCCCATGGTGGCCACACCTCTGGATCACCATTCCATTCCTATCCAGATGTGCCAGCCAAGGCCTGGGCACACAGGGACTTACCCAGTGCTTTACCTGTGGTGTAAAAAGTAAAGGACCCTGAAACTGGCCAACAAGGATGACACTGGCTCTAATTACACCTCTGATCAGCAGTACGATTTGGAGCAAGGCACAGCTCGTGCCCAGACTCCAATCCCCCTTTATCCATAAAGCGAAGGTCTCTAAGGAGGAACATACAATATGCAAGGGCCGGGGTGGGGGGGTAGAGAAGAACCCTGACCACTGGTTCTGTTTAGTTTTCTATTGTGCCTCAGTGTTGGTGTCCAGGGCTCAGAAACACTAAAGTCTGTATCTTGAATCCACTGCTTTTACCTGGATAGCTTCGAGTGAACTACTTTACTTCTCTGGGTCTCAGTTTTCTCATCCATTAAATGGAGATGTGTGGTTGTGAAGATTCAGTAAGACCAGGCACATAAAGTGCTGAGAACAGAGCAGGTATCACCATCATCATCCTCATCATCTACAGAACCCTCCAGAAAGATCAGAGCTAAACCAGCTTGTTAGGAAAGAGGAGACTTAGGCGTTATTGGGATAGTCTCTGCAGTAAAAAGGAGGGATCTGACCATGTGTTACACAACAGGAAGAACAAACTGACTGGTCGGAATATGCAACCCAAGTGAGGCTCTCCGCTGCCCAAGGAAATCGGCACTTCTCAGCTCCCCGGGAATAGCATGGCTGCCCAGCCCCAGAGGGAGACCCTGCGCCCACATGCAATGGTCAAAAGTGCAGAGAAACTGTCCTGCCAGGGAAGAGGCATCCGGCCACGGAGACCCTCCACAGAAGGTTCTAAACTCTGTGAATTCTAAGCACACACACCTCAGCCAGATTAACACCCCAACTGGACTAAGCAGTCCTTCAAACATAGAAAACATGAAAATACAGCTGCTCTTCCATTATTACCAGAGCCGGAGGGTTTCCAAGTCACAGAAAGAACTGTGCAAATGAGCGTCACCGGCTTCTCTCAGTGGACGGGATTTGATGACAAAATTTGCCAAACTTGTAGTTAAGTAAGGCCTTTATGACAGGGTTTTAATGTTTGGTTAAACCTCACTAATTCAGCTTTAATTATAAAGGGAAGGGAGGTCTGAATGAAAGAAAATGCTCCATGGTGGGCAGCTTATTACTGGGGAGAGCCTACAGATGCTCAGAGGGTGTCTGAGACAGGGGGCTCTGGCACATTCCTTGTGCAGGCGAGGACCCTGCCATTAGCTCGGCCACGGCACAGGAAGAACGGTGTCGAGCACAATCATGAACGTTCAAGCCACTGGTTCCAGGGGGTTCTGGATGTCTCGGCCAGGACAGGGCCTCTCTTCCCCAGCAGACATCGCACCTCGCCGTCCCTTGCTACCAGCAGTGGGGTGCAGTGGGGCGCAGTGGGGCACAGGGAGCAGACTGGGCCAGCCCCAGGAGCCTCCGTGGACACCATGTTGGCAAGCGGTGCGGGCTCAGAAGCACAGCTGGCTCCCCGGACCCTGCAGGCTCATGAAGACGCAGTCTGCGCCCTGGCTCTCTTCCTGAGGCCAATTTAGAGCAATTCACTGTCGTGAGTGATTGAAGTCCTGTCATGCCACAACTGTTCTTGAGTGGGCTTGCTGGCTTGCTTTGTTATTACTGCTCCTCTGCCCACCCGCACTCCCACAGTGGGGGTCAAGTCCAGGCCAATCCTGAGGAAACCGACAAGAGAACCAGCCTGTTTATTAACTAGGGCTGTGCAGGGGCTTGTACGGGCTCAGCGCTGCAGTAACACGGGCAGGCGGGAGCCACGATCTGGCCTTTGATTTCTTAGTGGGGTTCTGCCCCCCTTACACCTCCATGATGGCAGACCGGATCTGCGCTAACCCTCTAGCTATAGGTAGACTCACTCCCCACCCCAGACGGGCCTCAGGGAAGTACGACCAGAGTAGGGGGGAGAGGTCACAACACTGCAGCCCCTCTACCACCTCCACAACAGATGCGGAACTGTTTAGGTGGGTCTCTCCCCAGGCATGGCCAAGGACAGGTTCCCAGGGGACTCATTTGCACAGGGGCGAGCCGGGAGAGGGGGAGACATGGAGGTCTCAAAACCCCACCAAGATGCACAGAACATTCCACAGAGCCACAGGCATGCAAATCTGTGCCAAGTGACAGAGCCCTGGGTAAGGGGAGAAGGTGAAGGTCCTCACCTTGGGGTACAGGACAGGGTTGAATTTCAGCCCCACAGCGTCATCACAGAAAGCCTAAGCAAGAAGAAAGAGACACACAGTTCAGGGGTCATTTCCACTGAAAACATCTGGGCTGTTCTGCCCACCAGGAGAAAGAGCATGGGAGGGCAGGCCCTGTGGGGTCAGAAGGACTGGGGCTGAACCCTGGCTCTGCCGCTCACTAACAAGTGGCCAGGAAACCCAACTCACCTTCCCGGGGCTTCCTGATAAAGTGAGGCCACAGAAGGCATTCGGCACAATCCTGCTTGGCATGTGGGTCCGAACCAACTGACCATCCTTCTCACCCCACTGGACTCAGTTCTCAAGTTCCCAGTATCCCAGAGCAGAGACACGGGTCCCTCCACCAGCTGACGGACAGCTCCTTACTCAAAGGGGTCCTCTGTCTGGACCAACAGCCCGGCCATCCTCCAGCCCATCTCTCCTCTGCTGTGAAGGCTCCCTGGCCACCCCATCCCTTCCTCCTCTCAAGTCCTACAGCACTCTCCATAGCCAGCCCTTTCTTTCCATTTCTCTGGTCCCCTAAACCAGCTGTGAGCCTGGGGGCAGAGGCCATGAGCAGCCTCAGCTGTGAGGATGAGATGGGGAAGTTGCAGGGAAGACGAGGGCATCTGCCAATAGCCCTCCTCCACCCCATCTACACCGTCAAGGGCCAAGGAGTACGGTGGCCTTCCCCTCTCCAAGGGCAGAGCCCTCTCGGGACAAGCCTGTACCCTCCCCGTCCCAGCCCTGGGCTAAAAGAGGAAGCTAGCTTCTCACAAAGGTTGGTTGTTACCTTTGCAATCTGAGGGACGCTGGGCAACTTGCTCAGTCCGGCCAAGGGGATCCTCTCGTGAACTGTCTTCACTTTGGACCTGCACACGTGAATGAGGGTGAGAAAAGGAGTCCATTAGGAAAGGGGCTGAGATCATGCCAGACCACAAGGCACACTCGCTTTGTCTCCCTGGGTCAGATCTGCCGCGTTTCACCCAACCCGTGAGTGGGGCGTCACACTCAAATGGTGGGAAAATGGAATCTTGTCCTTATCCTGGAGGATACAGAGGCCTGGTAGAGCCTCTGCAACTGAGATATGGGACGTGCAGAGAGTCACCTTCAAGTTCACCATGAATTTTTGGGTTGCTGTGGGGATTTTTTTGTGTTCTCCCAAAGAACCAGGCACATCTTCTGGATAGATGTGTGTTCTCACATGCAATTAAGCCTTTATGAAAAGAAAATCTAATACTTGAAAATCTGGATTTAGTCAAAATATAAATGGGATGAAAGTTGCTTTATAAAGGGATTCACCGTAAGACTCTAAATTTAGCCTGTTCCCCTGATTCATTTAGCACATTATGAAAGTGTTGAATTTTACTGAATGCTTTTCTGCATCTGCTGAGATAGTCATATGGTTTTTAATCTGTTAACCTGGTAGATTACATTTCTGTTGAGCCATCTTTTCGTTCCATGGGGTAAAACTCGCTTGCTTATGATGTATTATTTTTTCATATCCTGCTGACTTTAATTTGTTAATATTTTATTGAGAGTTTCACATCAATAGTGACACTGGCTTTTTTTTTTTTTCTTGTACTTCTCTTGTCAGGTTTTGATATCAAGGTGTTATCCCAGCCTCAAAATTGCTGGGTAGCTTCTGAACCTCTGAATTAGTCTGTATACCCCACAGGGATTTACTGTTCCTTAAAGGTTTGCTAAAACTCATCTGTGGAATCTCTGGGCTTGTTTTTTCGTGGGGGAAGGATACCTTTGGCTACCAATTCAGTTTATTTAACAGTGAATATTTAGGTTTTCTACTGCTTATTGAGTTAGTTCAGTAATTTATGTTTTTCTATATAATTATCCAATAGTGCACTGATATAGAATGGGTTTTGGTATTGTCTTAGGAGTTAATCTGCACTTATAATCACATCCCTCCCTTCACTGTCATAACATGATCTGTTTGTATCTTTTCTCTGTTATGCATAATCAGTCCTTGATGGGGGTGTTCCTATTTTATTAATCTTTCCAAAGAGACAACTTTTGGTTTTGTCATCTCCATTCATTTTATTGTTGCTTTCTACTTCACTAGCCTTGTTGTCTTTTTTATTTCCTTCTTTTCTATTTCCTTTGGGTTTTTTTCTATTGTTCTTTTTCCAATTTCTTGACCTGCATGCTTACACAGTTAATCTTTCTTCTTTTTTACACATGCATTTAAAACTATACATCTTTCTCTCTAAGTACCACTTGAACTGCATCCGACACATTGATAGGTAGTATTTTCACTGTCATTCAGTTCTAAATATTTTGTCAGTTCTTCTGTGATTTCCTCTTTAGTCCATGAGTTATTTAAAGGGTCTCCTTCTTTTTTTTTACTTTCTAAATGTATGATCTCTTCCTTCAGTAACTGTTGATTTCTCACTTAATTTTCCCAAGTTCAAAGAACATAATCTGTATGCTAATTATTTTGGATCTGTTAACTTACTACACAGACTTTTTTCATGTACTATGTGGGCTTAAAAACAATGTATTTTTGTTTTGTTTTGTGAGTTCAGGAATGTATGTTACAAGATCAGATTTGTTAACTGTATTGTTCAAATCTTCTACATATTTACAATTGTCTGCTTGTTCAATTGGCGTCTGAAAGATGTTGCTAAAATCTCCCACTATAACTGAGAATTTGTCTATTATATTCCTATCTGTTTTGGTCTTTTTGAATTCAAGACTGTATTACTAAGTACAATTTCATGACTGTTAGATCTTCTGGGAGGACTGTTCTCTTTATCGTCCTGTGGGCTGAGTCCTCTGTGGGTCCAGTAAAGTGCATTTTTCTCTGCCCAGGTAATGAACAGATTCAGAAACAAAAAAATTAAGAGTAAGGTGGTTACAATAGCCAAACTCTGGAAAGAGCCAAGATGTCCATCGACAGATGAATGGATAAAGAAGATGTGGTATATATATACAATGGAATATTATGTAGCCATCAAAAGGAATCAGAT